TTTTCGCCTTCTTTTAACTTTACCGCCCAAGATATAGACCTTAGCTTTTTCCTTTACAATCCGCCATTCGAGACATTTCTTTCCATGACGGGGGATTTTTACAAGATAGAACCGCTAACCCATACTGAACATGCGCTTTGGAAGACGGGATTTTTCATCTCCAGCTTCTATATGTATGGGATGAGAGTCGGGATCGAAAGTGGGATTCATTTATACTACTACTAGTCAGCCCACGTAAAACCTTACAATAGTAAAGATCTATTTGGGATTAAATAAAAAAATAATTTCTTTCTTATTCATTTCTGCAGTTAGATAAAGATTTACATTCGGTCATTTATAACACGAAACTGTTGATGCTGCTACATTGTTCTATTAAAGAAATATTGATTCCAAAACAATCGAACTGTTGAGTATTTAAACGAAGTATGAAAGAAAGATCTTAATACTGTACCTTTAAATATTTTACGTTTATTCCTCTCTCTCTCTCTCTCTCTCTCTCTCTCTCTATCTTAATTTTCGCAACGAATGACAGGAATGTTATATAGTGCGATAATTAACTTCAGGGGAGCACCTTATCTAACGTCAGCTGCAAGCAATTTAATTCGTTGAAAGTTGTCTCACGTCCAAGTTACAGTTCCTAGATGTAAGAGCGTAGGAGAAGTTTATGTACATACAGGCGTTATTTCTTTTTCAGACTATTCGAGGTCGTTATAAAATCACTAATAACTTTTCGCCCACCGTCTAAGAAAATTCTCTAAACATTCTCGACCAGATATATCGTTCGAGTACTCATCTGGACATGTTCCTCAAGTACTTGAAATTATCCTCCTTTTTGTAATTTAACTGTTACTCTGTAAGATCAGTGTTTTTACTCGGATGCTTTTATTACAAGCTGCACCGACTTATATAATAGAATTCTCAGCTTTCACACTCGCACGTGCAATTGAAAAGAATATAAAGAATACAAAAAAAATTCGATTTGACAAAGTTCAATCTCGAAAGAATTATTGGATTAAAAAAGTTTTAATACGAACAGATCGACGTACCTTCATCACTTATTACTGCGCAATCTATATTTTTTATTTACAACATAAATGACATTCGCGCAAAAACATATGAAACTTTTATTATCTTCTATGTGATTGATTATAAATACAGCAATACATCATCTACGTGCAACGACAATATGATTTTATGCCATTTTATGTATATCTAGTTTTTTTGTAAAAAGAAATTTAATTCTTAATTAAATGTTATATAAACTATGATTAAAAAGGTGAAATTTAGCGCGTAAAAGCATAAAGCTGCACATAAAGCTGATGTACGAGTTTCGCGTAAGATGTACGGTCGATTTATCAGGGTGAACAAAGTTTTACAGCCTGATTAAAGTCAGCCAAGTCCATTCATCTCACAAAAGACAGACAGATTTGCACGGTATCAAGCTTTAAGCATCGACGCCTTTTTCTTTAAATATCATCACTTTAAGCGTTACACAATTATTATCGTGTTCCGAAAATTTTATTTATTTATTTAAAATGGCTTTAAAGAAAATAAACAATAACTGTATAAGTTTTATTATTTTCAAAAATATTGCAATTTGTATTATATCATTTTAATCTTGAATAAACGAGAGTACTATGAAATAATGAAACTACATGTAGGAAACTAATATTCTTATTTAATATATCGGTAATATTTTTATATATCACCATTATTTCTAATGTGCATTATTTCGAGCACATAATCTAAACTTTAATATTTCGTTGAAATTTTCTTTTCTATAAATTACAAGTATAAATAAATCTTTCAAAAAATTATTAATCTAACAATCCACGATATAAGCTAAAATGCATCCTTGTACAGTTTTGATGTAATAGCAATCAATTAATTGTTATATTTGCAATCTATTATTTGTATTACATTGTCTACTTTGCATTACATTGTCAGTTACTGACACGCGATAAGATGGTTCGACAATCCCACTATCGTGCATTAAAGTAATTCAATACAAGAGACTGTGATTATATTCGACATAGTATATCACGCGCAATTAAGATATAATGTTATAATACATAATACTATACATATGCTACATACACACACACACACACACACACATGCAATTATACTTATAATTACATGTTACCGCTTAAATTTTGCATATACATATATACGTAAAATAACAAATGACAAGATGTCATTTTATTTTACTGTAAAAGAGCAGAAAACTGCCCAAGGCTTTTTCCAATGCATAGCTGCCCCTACGTCTCAATAACAGTTTATGTCAATAATGTATAACTCAAAGAATTATCAAAAAAAATATATATGTGTGTGCCTATTAAGAACAATGAATTTTTTATAATTATTTTTACAAAAGCATTTCACAAACGTGAGAGAGAGAGAGCAAGAGAGAGATATATCATACTCGTATAATAAATAATCAATGTATCGTGTATTATATACATCGATTATTCTAAAAAAAATTATTTTACTAATTATTTCATTATTCTTGTTAATCTTTTTTGCAAACAACTAATTTTTAAGTCTCAGTTCGCGAATATATGACTGCATACCAAGTTGTTAATATACCGAGCTGTTGATAATGGAGCTTTTACTGTAATGAGTTTACCTAAACCATTCGCTAGAGTTGCACGAGCTTATGTAACGCAAATAAATCACGTATTAATTAAACAGTAATCGCATATGCGATTACTTATGGATGTTGCGGTTGCGTAGAGATCATTGAATTCGATGATCCGGCTTTCACGCACCACCCTGAGTGCGAATAATCACTCCGATTCAATCAACGCGTAAATTTGGCGCGACTCTGTGACACATAAACGGTTCACATAAAATCGTTATAAATGATTTATCACAATTATTAAATTGCACAGGAGATAATAATAATCTCTCATAATATTGGTATAATGTTACGACGGATATAAAGTAAGTCTGTGCATATATTTTTTTTTCTTTGGAAATAAACATGTAATAAAGACATGTTTTCTTTAATTTTTTTATGTAACAAGAGCTATTTAAGGAAACTTATCATAACTTTCTCTCTTTCTCTATTAGTCTGTACATGAAGTTCTTTATTAGTAAACTACGTAGTACCACAACTCGGCATATTTTCCATGAATGTACTCGAAACTTTCTTCGTGATAACGAAGCTTCTCATCGGTGGTTTACTTGAGGACCTTTGGTTATATCCGACAACTTGATTACCACAACAATACGAAACTTTCTATGTTGAGAATACAGTGAAATAAGTATGACATTGAATCGATCATTCTCATTGATCGATTACTTTGAAGAGAATATTCATTAAAATTATTTTATGTCATCAAACCAAACAAATGATTCAATATAATAATAAAAATATTGTATAATATATTAAATGAATCTATGTCTCGTTATGTACAAAAATATAATTTGAAACACATAAATTAAATTATGATTACAATTATATAGAATTAATTCTTTATACAGAAGGCAATATACAATCTCTCTCGTTCACATTCTTCAATCTAATATATATTTGTCGTAATCTTTTGTAGTGAATAAAAGATGCGAATCACATAGAGAAAATATTGCAAAATTACGTTACGTCGACGAAAAGCAACAGCGAACTCTTTCCGTGCGATAAAACTCTTAAAATATAGACGCAATTGCATGCCACAAATGAGACGAATCTTATTACCGAGCCGAGATGGAATCCGGATGACTTGCTGTGATTCGTCCCAAGTTCCGCTCGATCGACTCGCGAAATATTGCTCGTCGGATTTAATCATAAGCATGAACGCATATATTCCAAATGTCAAATAATTTCCCTTTCGATTTCGACAAGAAAAATCTATTTCTCCGCGTCTACGCAGTAAACGGATTCAAAAATTTAATTTATGGCAGGTTGCACAGAATAATTGAGAAAATAGAAGAGACTTTCTAAAGCACCATATTATGAAAATAAATTATAACACGGATAAAGGATTTAGCTTCGCGATGGCTCTTCCTTTGTAGAAATTTAATAAACTGTTCAATAGTGAACAAACGAGGTAACTTTATTATACGAGGTCTTTAAATCATGACTCGTTTGATGCCATTTCTAATATTATGAGATATATACGAACATGTTTTACTCGAGTTAATGTGTGGTAAATTAAAAAACTGTTTGACAGCTCCTTAAGTGAATGAATGTTTACGCTTCTGAAATAAAATAACGTAATGACTAATATAACTGTAGAACTTCAGGAAAAATGAAAATTGTAGAGACGCACGCACAGAGAGGATTAAAAAAATAAAAGAAAAATTAAATAAAAAAAGAAATCTTGATATTTTATATTTAAAAAGAAAAAGTTAAATAAAAACATGTATCAGATGTGCATGTACAAAGTGAATTGTAATTTGTACAAAATACTACAGAAATTTTTAGAAATAATGTGTACATCTTGAAAATATATTAAGTATAAGCTACATATTTAAAAGAATTAATGTAATTTTTTAAATTATTTATTATAGAAGAGTACAGTTTTATTACCATTATATAAGAGTTCAGAAAATTATTAGCTCATACTTTTTACTACAAAATTTAATATACTTTTATTTCGTTATAAATTAAGAAAAACACTGAGTATGTATTATTAAATATTTTTTAATATTCTTTGTAAAGAAAAATAATAATAATTTGACAGAGAAAAAAATTAGACATTTCTTAATTTACAAACGTTTTTTATAGGAAAAAAAATACATATATAATTGATGAGATTCTAAAACTGAAGATTTCAGTAATTTTAAATTTATTTATATATTGCTATAACAAGCTTTTAAAATTGTGCATTGTAGATTATGTTTTAAAAGCCTTCTTTGTTGATATCCTGCACATTAAACTTGTAAAAATATAAACCGACAAGATTTCTTACAATTTCCAGGGCAAGTAAAATTGCAAACAACAGAGAGAATCTTATATATTATTTACGGAATATATTTTAAAGAAACTTCGAGACTACAAAAATGTAGGTCATATATATATTATGAATTTGTTTTACAAATGTATTCTTTCGAATTAAGTAACGTATGTGTACATCCTTTTGAGCATTCAGTAAACATATATTCAAAATATGATTTTTCCAAACATTAAAAAAATTTTAAACTGATTTTCTTACGCTTCATCTTTATTAGAAAAAGCGAGATTTTCGCGAATGTTCTGTGATTTGTATAGATTTGACGAATTTTTCTTTAAATTGTCGTCGCTTGTGGAATTCTTGCAAATAACATTAGATCCGGATCTGGAAGGAATATTGATGACTTCAGTCGGTTGCGTTGCCGTAACGAATCTCAGCGCCTGAAATCAGCAACAATCGATTGTATATCATAGACCGCAAAATACTCGCGTTGACGTACACACATAGTACGCAATCTGTAATTCGTGCGAGTGTCAACCTCGAGACGGACATCCGGCATAATTGGATAAATTCGTGTGACGCAGCTTTGGTTCCGAGCCAATTTAATTGCCTGCGCTGTCACACACAGTCCGATTGCGCGCATGCTAAAATCGCGAAAATTGAAAATATCGCTCAAAGGTACGATCTTTACGCGTACGTCGCGTCGGCGCAGTGGTTCTTCGAATTTCGCGCAGAAAATATTTATGCCATTTCGCTTACATCAACAGAGCAGGTAAACTTTGTTAGTTGCTGTTTAATCATCAACTGTTTATATTCTCTGTTAATCATATTCATATGCGCATATATAGTGATCTCAAATATGCAGCAGTTTAATTCTGTACATTCATAACATAAAATATTATGTAACTTATATAAGCAGAATTCCGAATTTTCTATAAAATGTACATTTTTTTTATCCGGTTTATTAGTCCATTAATTAAAGCATTTCATTACAATCATTAGTCGATAAAATATATATGTTAATAAAGGAAACTTTTTCATCTTTTTTTTCATTAATATATATTTTCGAACGTTAAATATACATTTCTATGCAATAAAAATATTTATTTATCTAAAGATTTAATTCCCTAGAATAGCATTATTATTTAATATTAGATTTTTATTTTCTAATGATAAAAATAGTCTGCGATGTGTTAACGTCACAAAACAATCAACAAATTAATAATAAAGAAAATTATGTAAACATAACGGAACGCAAAATGCAATTACCCGTTCCTTTGATTCTATTCTAGTTTTAAATCTACTTAACAAACGTATTATATAAACAGTTATTATGCTTATAACATTCAACGCACAAATTATTTCATTACGTTCAATACAATTAATATTTTATTACTATTTTTATACGCGTTTATAATATTTAAATATAGTCAAAATAAAAAATAAACTTAATTAGTAAATTCTTAATAATATAATTTATATTTTTTCTACAGTAATTTACTACTGGGATTGAATTTCAATTTTTTAAATGAAGTTTGACTATTTAGAACGACTCTTTATTTTAACCTAATTTACGGGAACGAAATTTACGGGAACGAAAGTTACTGCGCCTGCAACTGACACCGAAAATTCACGACTGAACGTTACACGGGAAGTAATAGCTAGCGTAAACATGCATTCACCATATATGCTTGTCAAGCGAGCATCATGCAGCATAATAATTATGTATGTATGTACATGTATCGAAATAGAGACAATACAACATTTACCACGCATGAGTAGCAAAGCCTGCATAATGTATTGGGTAAACCCAAACACGCGTTAATTGTGTACGTTGCATTTATATGCGGTATTGCGTTTATGTTCACTTTGCGCGATACACAAGATCTGAATAAGATACTTGTACCAGTTAGGCATCGTCTACTTCAAAGGAAGTAACATTAATTTAGATTTGGACAATCAAGAAATGCATTAGAAGAAATTTGCTGAATATGATATTTTAAACCACGATATATGTACATCTCCTTCTTTTCGGCCACAGAGCCAAACGCGATGTTATTGCGAAAATTAAGTAATCTGAGAATCTGTATCCTATGGTTGGAATCCCAAGAATTCTCCTTATTTCTCTTTTAACTTCCCCTGTAAAGAAATAGGCGAGAAAAATATTGGTCCGAAAGTTGGCTAAAATCGGGAAACGAACCCGAGACCTTCCGCTTGGGCGAATGCTATTCCAACTGAGCTATTCAGACACTTAACAAGAGAAGGTCTCAGGTTCGTTTCCCGATTTAGCCAACTTTTGGACCAATATTTTTCTCGCTTATTTCTTTATAGGGAAAGTTAAAAGAGAAATAAGGAGAATTCTTGGGATCTCAATCATAGGATACAGATTCTCAGATTACTTAATTTTCGCAATAACATTGCGTTTGGCTCTGCGGCCGAGAAGAAGGAGGTGTATATCGTGTTTTAAATTAAAAGAGCCGACCTAATATTCTTATGATATTTTAAGTATAGATTTTTCTATTTAATTTTAATTTCCGCGAATAATTTAAAGTTATACCCGTCGAACTGAACAATTTTATGATCTTTCTATGAATAGAGGAACGGAATTGTCATTGTATCCGAAACTCTCATCAGTTTGCTGTCTCAGGTTGCAGTGCATCCGATTGCAGGAGCAATCGTATTGCATCGACAGCAAGCGATCGAATACAGTTCGCTGTAATTCGATCTCGAAACAGCTCGATGCGAAACTGGTTCCACGTCAATTTAATTGGCCACGTCATTATGTGCAGCATCACTGCAGTATGATATTATCAACCTGATTGAAAGAGCGCGAGAAAAGTTATTCGATAGATCGCAAATAAATTGCATCGATAAACGAACGTTCTACTTCTATCAGATTTGTGTATTACCAAATGATTTCATTTGATTGATGCCGTAACAGGATCGACAGACAATCCTATTCACGTGCTTTACTTCACCAACAGATTGATCTTGTCACATTTTGTATGTCGATATGAATATCAATTATAATTTCGATGCTCGAGAAATAACATCTGGAACTGTTGCGATCTATCGGAATTTATATCCGCTTATCGTTATATAGGAAGGAAAATTCGACTATAAGTATTTTCGTTCCACGTATGCTTGTTTACAAAACCGACAAAGAAACGCTTCGCATTGACTGCTGTTATTTAAATTTCCGGTTCCTCCGGTTTTCGGAAAAATTCTACAGCTAAGCAGAAGTCTGTATTTATTGGTTATTTTCTCTTTTGTTTATTTTTAAAATATATATATTTATATATTTCAAACTAAATTATTCTAAATAATTCGTCGTTTTAATTAAAGGGAATTGAAACATCGTGACATTATTATTTGTTGCGCAAATTACATAACATGTGATTTGCGCAACAAATAATGTTGTTGATTAAGCTTTAAATATCTTTTGTAGTACCGCATATTGTTTCCATGACAAATATCGGTGCGTTTTAAACGCTGGAAAAATGTTTTGTCATACGTATAAATACTTATATAGTATGAGCAATTTGTATATACGTTTCTGTAAAAATAGATTTTCAACAGATGGTTATACACAAAAATATCGTTACATGCAGGTTTATTTTGCCAATTATAAACAAAAATATCTTTCGTTATATGCACAACAGGTTTATTTTGCAAATGGAAAGTGGCAAATAGTGTTACATATAAAGCGCGCCACGTTAAGTTGTTAAATTAATTACATTTCATAAAAGAACGTGGAGAAAAGAGAGAATAGTGAAATAAAGTTTAAACGAGAAACGTTTCAAAGTGACGCGACGGGATATGCAGAAAAAAATGCTGCAATATATAAAGCAATTTCAATGAAAGATTAAACGGTGGCAAAGCGACGCCACATCGGCCCTACATGCGATATTTTTTTATCGCGACTATTTATAACAGTTTCATGTAGTTTTGAATGCTTGATTGTACGCGAACGAGTCGTTTTAAAGTCCTTCAATATTGAGCGAAATGAGCAAACTGTACGAGCTTCTTACGGTGTATAATGTCTACTTTAAACCCATCCTAGATAGGTATAACCGTAAATCGACGATCAATCGAGAATCTCATCATTTTTCAAGTTTAATTCTACGATCGAAAAGAACCCTTTCGCGAGTTTCGCATAAAAATTGCTCCTTCCGCGAATCAGGGCGTTTTCTAATTTCCCCCGGGGATATCATTAGCGGACATGGACGAAGTGCGTAAAGGTGAAAAGTAATAAGAGCCGACAACAATTCGGAAAATGTCAAACGCCGTAATAGAGATTACGTTATCGTCTATGTTACGGGTGTTCAATTGCCGGATTGCATTTCCGGAATAACACGCAATTGTTTATATATATTTTTGCTGGCATTTGTCAAAAATGCGTTTCATAACCTTATGCGTTTCATGGCCTTTACTGACCTCGTTATGAATTATAGTAGCGAGAAGGAGGAAGAAGAAGCAACGCGGAAAAAAATAACGCAACATTTAAAATGCAGCTACCTTCCGCCTGTCCCTGCGGGCGGAGTATAACACCCAGATTATGTACAAGGCCATAATGATGGCGGGTACGCACACTCCCGCTATCGTGGACGCACCCCGTAGAAGCAAATGATGCAGCCCGAGCAATGTAAATGCAAGAGCCATTCCGCCCGCGACGTACCTTCCGGTACGACGTCGTTCCTCCTGCCAACAGAAATATCCCAGATTTTTTTCTTTTTCACGGATGTAAAATTATCGCGCGTTTTATCTCCGCCAATATTTAGCTCTATAAATCGTCGGTTTCGTTCGCTGATGATGTACCTCATCGTCTGTGACTTATGATTTTGCATTTTGCTTCAGGTATCACTCTATCCCATTTGTTCAACTAGGACGACAAATTTATGAAAAATGCTACAAAACTTGAAAAATGTGACTTTGTATCAACTCGGTGATATAAGTATTTCCATTGAAAAATTCTAAGAATACTTTAAACAATGGAAAAATATGTTGGAAACATCGCTGGAATAAATGTGTAGGCACGAAAAAATTTCAATTTCAAACAAGCAACATCCAATTTTAAACGCAAGAGTTATATTTAGACGCGTTCGTCATGTTTGTGTATAAAATTAAATTTTGAATTAATTCATCAGATCTCTTACGCGTATAAACGCCTGATTACTCTTGACGACTAGTAAACAATTAACGGCGACCCTGTATCTAAATATAGCAAAACCTGTATTTCGGTTTCCAGCAGATGCGCAACGAAACAAATTAGGCGGGACACGTTTAACCCAGAATTCATTTATTTAACGTCGTCGGTTTTATACGTGTGGCGTCTGCGAACGACAAGCGCGATGGACGCTTCGCAACAGGCTAGGTACGAACATTAAATACTGGCGCGCGATTGCGTCGAAATTGACAGATCCATTTCGCGTTCTCCTTGAATTTCTCTCCCGTCGCGCTATTACGTTATTGCGCGAGTCGCCCTTTAACGTCCTTTAATGGGTCGCGCGCTCTTTAACAAATCGCGCAACCGTGACGACTCGAACGTTTTACGTAAACGTAATCAACGCCCGTGTGTTTAAACACCTTTAACTATCATATTCAAATTATGCTTCCATATTGGATGCAGATACGCCGAACGGAATAGAGATAACGATAACGCGAGCATTTTACTTCCTCAAGGCAAACAGAAACGATATCATCGCAGTTAAAATAGTCGTTTAGTCTATATATGTATGGCACGAAATCCAAACATTTCGCTTCGATCGACCTTTCGATGCAAAATCTGCTGCACGTAATCACAAGATGATATCACGATATCTCGCAGTTATATCGCGGTAGAATCGCTATCGTGATATTCTTGCGGAAGACCAACCGATTGTGTGAGAGTATTAAGATTGTCCCTCGACGAAACCTCCGATCTCAGCATCATGACACTGATGATGACATAAAGTTTCTTTCGCTATCGATTGCGCAAAGGTGAATCAGTTTATTATATATTGTATTAATATGTAACAGAATCTTCCATCGAGTTATATAAGATTGATCTTTGCTTCTTTTCTGAGAAATTCTTTTCCTCGATTATAAACGTCTTTGAGTTTTATATATTATAAATAAAGTAGTTTTTCAGAAATTTGTTCTTCCTTACTCCTGTATTGCATATTTAATTGTGAAAATTTAATGGCACTTTTAACTTTGAGATTTCAAAGATGCAAGATATATATAAGGAAAGTTGCTTTTTTCCTCGAGCATCTCCAAACTAGCTAAACGCTGGAAATTCCACTATAAGTTATATAGATGCCATTGAGATAGAAGCATTATACTCGCAGGAGAAATAACATTTATAGTTGAATATCACATTTGACAAACAGTACGTAAAATATATTGCTATAATTAAAAAACGCAATCACCGAATTTACATTTCGTAACAATGATATTATTGTGAATTGATCCGATAATTATCTAATAAAAAAAACTGATGAAAATTGAAATATTATAGAAAACAATATTAATTGTATTTATTATATTATTGCATATAAATATATCTTATTTTCAATTTTTTTTTAATTAAATTTTTGATTAAATTATTTTTTGTTGGACTATTTTTACGTTAAATAATTTTATTTATACGTGAAAATCAATATAAATTCAAATCTCTCGTACATTTACAAATGCCGCTTAAATATTAATAATTGCGATTAATAATTTAATCGCATTATTTTCATCTCCTTTATAATATGATTATGTCGTTGAACAATTGTTACAGCCGAAATTAGTTCCCAGCGCTTTTAATTTCTCGCTAATTGTGCGAGCCACGGATAGCAGAATTTTATTCCCAGATTTATGAATGTTGTTAGGGAAGAATTAAAGCGGCCGCAGGTTATTCGTGCGGTGAATTTAAAATTGCGATTAATTAAACAGAAAAAAGAACCGTCGAAGGATGGCCGCTTTTTATCCGTTCGCAAAATATTTCTCTAAGCTAACGTTGGTGTAACGTTTTGCGTGAATTTCGTAATTCACAATTAACCCGAATAAAACACGACGATGAAACCACCGCGCGTCATTACGCCGTGAAATTTCAAGTGCGTTTTTAAGCTCGTTACTGCAGGAGCTAATTATTCCTCGCACTCGTACACGATATCGACGCGCACCAACACACGCATTAACGCGAAATGATTCACTTCCACAGAGAAACAGATATAATTCCGGTTCGGTTGTCGCGCGATCCCCGCGAATATCGACTTTGCGAAAGGACGTAGAAATGGAAAGCTCGCTCGCTCGCTAGCTAGCTCGCTTATGCGGCGTACGGTTGTGGTTTAAGAGCGACGCAGCCCGCCATTTACACCACTGGCACAATATAAGCCAGGCAAGCACGCTGGCATAATAAACAAAAAACACGATGAGCCAATACACCCACATACCGCCATCAAAGATGGTGCGCTCGGTGCGAATTGAAAAGAGCACGCGGTTTTCGCCAAAATTAGATTATCCTTTCCGCGGACGCTACTGACCTAGAAACCATATCGCTCGCTAAATTGCCGATAAAAGCATCGGTTGCGAAGACTCTAATTCAAAAATATAAAGTTTGAAGAAATATATCTTAATAAAAGCAAAAGCTTGTCTGAAGATCAATATTACATAATTTAAAAGAGTTCTCAAAGAAAACTTTGCCTTTAACTTGATTCCAAATAAAAATTGCTTCCAAAATTTGTTTAAGCTTTTACAAACAAAATGACTTGTGATAAGATCAGAGAGTCAAAATTTCTTATTAAACTATATTGTCAATAAAATAACTAATGTTACTAATTGTTCTGTCGATGTTTATCTAGTGTAGAAATTTAAAGATCTCTAAATCTCGCACGGAAAAAAAATTAGCTAAAATTTAGCTGTCCATATATTACACATGATATTTAATTATCATGCTTAAATTTTAGCTATGACAACTAATATTTTTTAGCTATAACATTCTCCGTTAAACTATGGCTACAAAATATTAGTTACCACAGCTAAAATTTAGCTATGGTAGCTAATTCTTTTTTTCCGTGTAAACTTCTCCACGTGATTCTTCTGATTTGACCACCTAAACTTCCCCTAAGGGTATTTACGCGATTTGCGACTCTTCTGATTATGTGGTTTCGTTTTTGCGCCTTTTCCGTTTTCCTCTTGTTTCTTTCTTTCCTTTTTTTATCAACAACACAACAGATAAACGTCTTTTACGAATTCTGCGCCTATCTTTAACCGCGTATATATTAGAGCACGAATTGCACCAGCATACCAATTGCAATGGAAATAATTGAGGTATAATCAATTCCACTCACGTTTACGTTTTCAATCGGACGGGGTCATTTGCCGAGGGAAAATAGTTCTCTCTAGGTACGTTAAGTTACGTTTATGCACGATCGAAACCCACACCACAATCCTACGTGACCCTAATAATTCTTCTTCACGAAGTAATCCGTGCAACTGTGAAAATGGACCATTTTTATTGCAAAGAACATACGATACATACTTCATTAATTACACAAAGAATTAATGAAATATAATAAGAACAAATAAGATAACACATATAAAATCGAAATAAGTTATAAATTAAAAGGCCAACTTAACGAGCTAATTAATTAGGTGTTAACAATTTATTCTACGTCATGAAAATAATACAAATGATAATTAGTAAACGTTTCAATTTGTATTATTTTCATGACGTAGAATAAATTGTTAACACTTAATTAATTAGCTCGTTAAGTTGGCCTTTTAATTTATAACTTATTTTAATTTTACACGAGCCGAATTTTATTTTTTATTATATATATAAAATCGAAACTTTTTTCATTATTTGTACATATTAATTATATATGAGAAATTATAAAGTTATTATTGCACATATAATTTTTACTTAATATATAATTTTATAAAATCTAAAAATCAATGTAATTTTGTACTGCTACAGAATCAATCGAAATTATTACGATTCAAATTACTATAGATTCGCGACAGTTTGCACTATGCTTAATTGAAGAATCAATTTTGATTAGAGTCAAGATAAATGAAATATTTTCTCCTGAAATTATAGAAGGTAAATCTGCATACAGTAAATGATCAATCATTCTTCCGGTATATGATTCATACATGTAAAGTTCATAGTTGTATCTATATAATAAAATTATATTACGTGTTTTTGCAACACATCTACGTGATTGATTAGTTAAAGTTTCGCAGCCAAAACAAATTACTTTGCATTCTTGTTGATAATTCTTCACAAAGGCAGACACGAATGACTAGTTAAATGCTAAAATGACCACTATTAACGTCACGCGCAAGCAACTTCACAGGATTTCAAGCTCAAGTAGTTCCAGTAATTGCATTGTTTGCCACCGAGTTGAACTTCGTTCGTGAAATCTTGAGATATAATTTTCACAGGCCCCATAATTTTAAGTTGACGTTCGCGATGTGCTACAAACCCTCGAGTTTCGCAATTATAATTAGTATATTTCCACATGCAGCGCAATTTTTCGTATCAATCAACGACTTATTTACAATATGCAAAATGTTATTATAGATTTGCTCTTATTCATTTTTCTTTAATATATTATATTTTTTTCTTCAAAAAGTAATAGTAGATAATTTTATGTTATAAAAACGATTAAAAATAAAAGAGAATTTTGGTTATTAAACTCCGAGTTATAATATATATTTTTTTTAAATATCAGATAAAATTTTTATTTCAAGCTTAGTTAGCAAAATATTCAATGTTGAAAATGACAAGTTTTTTCCAATTCTATAATATATCTGTACTCTCTACTAAAATTTTTTTAAAAAACAAATTCAAAAATAGACAACCAAATTTTAATTTAACAAGATATGTAATTGAAAGTGATTTTAAAACATTTTATGCAAAGCATCCAAACATGCTGTAAACAACATAAAAAATATCTATCTTGTAATACATGAAGAATTATTCTAACGTTAATATTATCCTGAAATTTATAGATGAGCAATCATATATCGAAAAATTTTTCATTACAAGGTTTATACTATTCTCTTGAAACGAACGTCTGCGCGACGATGGTAGAAGATTAAAAACGTAATATCGATGGTCCAACCTGATTTTACACGAATCACCCATTTTTACGAAAGAAGCAATTAAAAGAAGGAAACTGACAGAAATTGGTTCGCGCTAGGATTGTCTTCGCCCACGGAAGTACGTGCTGCACTCGAATTATTTCTTGGCATAACTGTCGGATCGTGAATCGACCATGGGAGAATGAAATAATCTTTCCTAGTCTAATGAGTATTGGAAAATTAACGAAGCATTTATTTGCCAAAAACAAGCATTCCGACCCGGTTTACTTGTAATCATCGAGAACATCAACTTAAAACTCGCACGATTGCAAACAAAGAGACATAAATTACGAATGAGTAATGCTCCTTGTAATATTGTAACAGTCTATTTCAGAATTGTTTCGCACAGAGAACACAAATAAAATGAAGCAGAAAATGAATTTGCTTGGCAATTTAAATGCTAGATAGATATTTAGTTTAATTACTCGACGATTATTTTGAAATATCTTTCGTCATTATATGTGTCATAATGTATATATATATTGTATATACGGATATATGTGTATAAAAGATATACGTTACAGTGTTTAAAATCAAATTACGTATACAATGATGTAATAATTTCGTAATATAATTCCAAGAACTCTTTAAATAAGAACAATAAAATTTATCTATTCAAGAAGTACATTTACTTAAATAATATGTTGACACGATAAAGCTAAAAAAATAATGAGGATAATAGGTAAATCGAAATTTGTTTTGAAAATCACTCGTAAAAAGATATGATAAATGAAAAAAATTTTAATAACAAATGTTGGATTTTCTCTTTCTTTTTCTTTTGTTAGTCACACTCGCAAATAATAGTCCTAAAATCTCGTTTATGTCATAGTGGACAATATATTTGGCGAAATTGCGCATTTTTCAGCTAACGCGTCGTAAAACTGATATTGTTTTATAACTATGGCAAAATTATTCTGTAAGCAAGATGTTTCTCTAAAAATTAAATACCAAATATATTCTAGAAATTGAACAATACTTGATAATTGGAAATGGATAAACACGTGATTACAAAAATTCTATAAACGATATTTTATAGTATTGTATTTACATAAGCATTATTTTAAATTAAAATAAAGTTAAGAATAATACATCTATTACAATTATTCACTTATTCATAGCTGACCATTTAATTTTTTTTATTTAAAATTAATATTAATTTGTCATAATAATTCTGCTTTGACGAATTTCTATATATTGAAAGAAATAATAAGATATAAAATTTACATATAATATATAATTTATTGGCTTTTATTCAATTGACAATACGATACAAATTTGATTTTACTAATATTTGAATGTATAATTTTTTATTTCATATAAATTTCAAAAAT